ATTAACCAAATAAATTTTTTTTTTATTTATATTCAGACTAACAATCGATTAGACTATTATATTGACCAAGTTTTGTCTAATAAATTGAACAAAATGATTTATTTATTAAAGATTTTATTCTATTAGGAACAATCTTTATTCTCGCTTTATTTCTAATTAACTATAAATAACAAAAACAAACAGATATTATTAAAAATATTCGTCAAAATTTTTATGATATTTAACATATAGAAGATTTAAAAAAAAAATCATTTTCCTTAGATATAATTAAATATAATAGAAGAATAAGAAATAATTCTATATATAGAATTTAAAATATAATTAGAAATAATTGATAAAATACACTCAATTTATTATTATGATTATATTTTGTTAGTTCGTGCTCGAGCAATTGAAAATCAATGTTTTGTTGTGGCTGCTGCTCAAGTTGGTTGTCATTATATGAATCGTGAATCTTATGGACATTCATTGGTTTGTTTGTTTATTTATTTTTAATTTAATAAATAATTCTATTAAATTTAGGTTGTTGATCCATGGGGAACAGTTCTTTTAGATATGAATGTTGATAGTCCATCTGTTCGTACAATTGATATTGATCTTTCACGTATTGAACAAGTTAGAGAAAAAATGCCAATTATTGAACATCGTCGACATGATATATATACATTAATGTCACCAACAATTATTATTGGTTTGAATACTTTTTTTTTTAGAAAAAAAACAAAAAAAACTTGTTTAAAATGTTTAGTACCAATTGATGATAAAAGTGAAGAAAAAATTCGTTGGGGTCAATTAGAAATAAATACAAGTCAAATATTTTTTCGTTCAACATTGACGTTAGCTTTAGTCAATAAAAAACCAGTTGTACCTGGACGTTAGTTTGACGTTTTTTAATCGTTTAAATAAAAAGTAACATAATTATATTTAGATGTACTTTTATCGCCAATTCGTTGTGTTGAACGATTTTGTCAATTAAATTCCAACGAAATAAATGATTTATTTCTATGTACACAATTAATTGCAAGAAAAATTGAAGAATATTATCAAGCGAAATCATTAAGTATTGCTATACAAGATGGAGAATATGCCGGACAAACTATTAAAGTATTTATTTTTGTTTTTAAATTTAAAAAAATAAACAAAAATATTTTCGATTTATGTGTTTTTTAGCATGTTCATGTTCATATTCTTCCACGAAAACCAGCTGATTTTGAAGAAAATGATACGATTTATCATGAGGTTATATATATTAATAATAATTCTAATTTATTTATTTATTTTATTTCTAGTTGGCTCATCATGATAAAAGAAAACAAGGATGGAGACAAGAACAAGAAATGGCTGATGAAGCAAAAATTCTAAGAGAATTATTTTATACGGATATGCAGTGAACGATCATTATCTTTATTTCATTAAAACAAAACAAAAAACACATTATTTATCTTATTCAATAAAAACAAAAAACAAAACGAAAATAATTTATTTAAATATAAAAATAAAAATAAGGATAAATTTATTATTTAAAATTTATTTTAATTTAACACTGATTATTCTATATAATGAATAGTTTAAAATTTTAAAAATTAATTCTAACATATTAATAAGAATAAATAATCTTCACAAATTATCGTATAGAAATATTTTTCAATCATAACATCATTTAATAACTAAATTATTTTTCGAAATGAACTTTAATCAATCATTTTTTCAATCAATTGGTCTACATTTGTTTTAAAGATTTATTCTCAATACAAAAGATGATCTTTATTCAAGATAACTTCATTAATATTAAGTAAGAGATGAACTCGTTCGCTTTTTCTTTTGTTTCAACCCTACTCTTTCACAAATTTATTGTTCATCTTTCAAGTATTTCAATATATTATTATTTCAACAAAACCTAAATAATCACCAAATAAAATCATTAGCCAAATTAAAGTTGAATATAAACAACTTTGAGAAAAGAAAAAATATCTCATTGAATAGTTATAATTGTCATCATTGATTTAATTGAAAAACTAACTAGTCAGTTAAGAATTCTGAATCATTTTATTTGAATCCAACAATATATCATCATCATCATCATCAGCCTGTATCGATCCGCTGCAGGATGAAGACCTCTATAGCTTCTTTCCAATTGTTTCAACAAGCCGCTAGTTGTTACCACCTGATACCTTTGTATTGAACTATATCGTCTGCCCATCGTTTCATGGGGCGTTTTCTGAGACTTTTATAATCTCTTGGTATCCAGTTCAGGATTTCTGAGGTCTAACGTTGGTCTGATCTTCTAGCGACGTGGTCAGTTCACTGCCATTTACGTGAGGCGATTCTTCTCATTATGCCGCATATTTTGGTTTTCTGACGAATCCATGTGTTTCTCTTCTTGTCGCGACGGGATATGTTTAGCATTTGTCTTTTCATGCTTCTTTGAGTGACCTTCAGTTTTTGAATCGCCTTTACAGTTAGTATCCATGTTTCACAACCGTATATTAACACTGGAAGTATACACTGGTCGAACACCTTTCTTTTCAGACAGATAGGCATATTGCTTCTGAATATGGTGTTCATTTGGTCAAACGCTCTCCAACCTAACTTGGTGCGATTTAAAATTTCTACCATGATGTCGTCACTCATTGTAACCATTCGGTCGAGGTAGATGTAATTGTCGACCTGTTTCAGTTGATGATCATCTATCTTTATGGACTATGGTATCGAGCGGCTGTTGAACATAACTTGTGTCTTCTTCAAGTTCATATTTAAGCCTGATAGTTTGCTGCTTTCATTTAGTTCTTTTATTCGGGTTTGGAGGTTTCCAGCACTGTCAGAGAATATGACAATGTCGTCGGCGAAGCGTAAATGACTAAGGTACTCGCCATTGACTTATATGCCTGTTTCTGACCAATCTAACCGCTTGAATATTTCCTCCAGGCCGGCCGAAAATAACTTAGGCGAGATGGTATCACCTTGTCGCACACCTTTTCTTACATTGATCGTAACTGCGTCATCATTTATGTGCAGAGAAGCTGTTACATCCGTGTAAATTGACTTCAACAGGCTTATATATAGTTCTTCAATACCATGTCTTTGTAGTACTTCGAATATTGCACTCAGCTTGATACAATCAAACGCTTTTTCGAAATCTATGAAAGCGACACAAAGCCACATCTCGTATTCATTGTACCGTTCAATGACCTGTTGTACAACCTGTATATTATCCATGGTGTTATATCCGCTTCTGAAGCCTGCTTGTTCTTTCGGTTGGACATAGTCAAGTGTTGGTTCGAGTCTTTTGACGATGATCCTTGCGAGTAGCTTGTAGATCACTGAAAGTAAGCTTATCGGTCTGTAGTTTTTCAAATCTTCTTGGCCTCCTTTCTTGTGGACTATGATGATCTTGGCATCCTTCCACGATGTCGGTATGTTTCGCTGCTTCAGGCATCTAGTGAATAAATCAGCTAGAGCCTTGTGGGTCTCACTATTGCACAATTTGAGAATTTCTCGTGTGATTTTATCTTGACCAGCCGCTTTGCCATTCTTGAGGCTTTGAATAGCTTTTAGCACTTCAGCTGGGAGCACGCCACGGGCGTTGGTCTTTTCAACGTTGTCAATTGTTATTTGTTCGATATTGTCGGCATACAATGTTGAATAAAATTCTTTGACGCGTTCCAGAATTTGATGTTGTTGAGGCATCTTCTTTTTGGATCCTAAATAGGCGTTTCTTGCCTGTCATAAGCTTCTGTTTCATTTTCTTAAAGCTTTTGATATTCTCGATTGTTGTTTGTATCAGTTGGCAATTGAATTGTCGAATATCCTCTTTCACTCGTTTCCTAATGGTCTTGCACAGTTCGGCATATTCAATATGGCTTCTTGTTCATTCACTATGTTTCCATTCTCGCAGTTTGCGCATCAGTTGTTTCGTCTCTTCTGATATCTTGTTGTGTTGTTTGCGTTTCTTCATACCACATATGTCTTTGGCAGTTGTTAACAAGATTTCAGTGATATGCTTGCTGATGTTCGATAGATGAGCATCGTTCACTTGCTCGATTAGACCGAATCGATTGGATAACTTTAGTTGAAATTCATTTTTTCGTGCCTCAAGTTTCTGGTAGTCAATGGATGTTATTGTATTGAGCATTAGTTTTATTCGTTCTTTCTGTAAATTGATTCTCAAGATGGTCCGTAAGAGCCGATGATCACTGTCAATATTGCAACGGTTGATGACTGAGCAATCAGTGAAAATCGATCTATTGTTTGATAAAATGTAGTCGATTTCGCTGGTCGCTCCCTTTGGTCTTTTTCAGGTCCATTTCCGACAGGGTTTTTTTTTAAAGTACAGGGTGTTCCAAAAGTCCCAAAGGAAAGTTTTCGTAAATATCTCTCATACAATTTGAGCGACTTAATCGGTTGTTTTAATTAAATGATAGTATATTCTTTCAAGTTTTATTTCATAAGAAAACCGTTAACAGATACTATTTTGAACTGCCACTTTTGACTTTAACATCAAAATGTATCCATTTTCAATTTTTCAAAAATGCGAGTACCCGAGATGATGAAAAGCTTTTGAGCCCATATGATGATTAGACACTTGTGAGGTGATATTTCTCCTTTTGCTACACGACCACTCTACTACAACGACCTCCAAACGGTTCATGCTTTTATGCAGTTTCGGCTGAGATATGAAATTTTTAGTGGGTTATGTTCACGATGACCCCCATTTTCAAAAGACAATTATAGTTTCGAATTTTGGCCTGAAACTTTGCCCAAAGCGAGGTCTCACTCAGACTAGCTTCTGTGCAAAATTTTAGAACTTTTGGATGTAGTATTTTTCAGATATGTATTTTTCAAATTTTCCAAAAGTTACATGGATAAACGCCTAAATTTTGAAAAATTCATATCTCAGAAAAACTATATCGAAAACTTCTGAAATTTTATACAGAAGCTAGTCTGTGTGAGCCCTCGATTTGGCCAACGTTTCAAGTCGCAATTAAGTATCTCAGAGAATTTCCTTCGAAAATGTTAGTTTAGAAATCGAAAGTGGGTACATTTTGATATTGAAGTCAAAAGTGGCAGTTCAAAATAGTATCTGTTAACGGTTTTCTTATGAAATAAAACTTGAAAGAATATACTATCATTTAATTAAAAAAAACGATTAAGTCGCTCAAATTGTATAAGAGATATTTACGAAAACTTTCCTTTGGGACTTTTGGAACACCCTGTATGTATTGATCACCGACAAATGTTCTTTTTCCGCAAATTCCACTAGTCTTGATCCACGTTCGTTTCTTGTGCCGAATCCATGTGCTTCAACCATTATTTCACATTGTTGCTTCTTGCCAACCTTTGTGTTGAAGTCGCCCATAACAATTTGGAAGTGATGTTTGTGTTCATGGAGCTGTTGTGTTACTAATTCATAGAATTCTTCTACATCTTCGTCGCTGTAGCTGCTTGTTGGAGCGTATACTTGTATGATTTGTAGAGTGTAGTGTTTTGATAAGTTGATTGTCAGTCTAGCTACTCTGTCGGAGAAGTTACTGAAATTGGTGACGTGGTCTTTCAGTTTCTTGTTAATGATGCCACCAACACGAATATTTCGACTATCTGATGTTCCACGATAGTACATTTGGTGATCATGTTTGATATCGATCAATCATTCATCCTTCCGTCGGATTTTGCATAGTCTAATTATATCCCATTTGATGTTCTCCAGTTCTAGTAGTAGTTCTTCTAACCTTCCGTTGTCTCGAAGGCTTCTAACATTGAGTGTTCCGATGTTCAAATTTTGAAGGCAGCCTGATTGAGCCCGGGGATTCTTAGTACCATCTGCTGTCAAGCTGGTATTCCCGCTGCGGTAGGTAATAGCTATCTGACTTTCGGGTAATGAGGGCCGTGTCTTGTAATAGGAATTCATTGAAGGTTTGGACCATGATCTGCCACATCGGTCCAATGCGTGTGTTATCTAGGTGACCCTTGATGATCATGTCATCTTCCAATAATCTTCTTTTCTACATATGACGTGATCATCGTTCTTTATACTATTGTTCAACATATGACATGATCATATCCACATATGAATACACACTCTTTTTCATTTTTTGAATACAAAAACTGTATAACCAGTGCTAATAATTGGTGCACCAGACCCGCCTCTTGAGTTTCAAGAAGGTTTACAAACCAGGCTACTACAAAAATTCACAAGACTAAATTTTTAACATTAATTTATATGGTACAAACGAGAAACAATTTAGATTTGTCGAAACTAAGCATTCATCAAGTAATATCGAATCAAACAGCAGAAGAAAAAGTGACTTCATCAAGTATGTCAAACCAAAATAATAATATGGACAATTTGTACAATACAAGTACATCATGTCAGTCAATTAAAGCAGATTTCTCAACACTCAAAACGAGTTCTTCATCGTTCACTCCTACCGATGCAATAGAAATGAAGATGATCGCTTTATCGGAACTTGATAATCAAATGTTAAAAACTATTCCAACTTCATCACAAACCCAACCGATAAACCACTCAATTAATAGCAATGAAGATAAAGAATTAGCCAGAATTCCTTATTATAATGGAAATACGAACATATATGCTTGGTTGACGGCTATTAAAAGTGCATTTATTGATTTGAATTACGATGAAAGTACTTGGGCAAATAAAGCTAAATATTATCTATTAGACCATGCTGCTCAGTTTGTATATGTTAATGATGATCAAATGACCAACTGGAAAGATTTTCAAAAATTAATGATCGATCGATATTCACCAATCATAACTACACAAGGTCCCATGGATTCACCTGTTAATGCATTAATTGGTTCTTGTACGAAATCCCAACCGTATACAACTTGTTCATCAGACACTTTGGCTGTCAAAGCTCATTATGCCTTAGTACTGGAAGATTTAAAAACATTACCAAGATTTTCGAGTGAAAAATCATAATCAATCAATTCATGGTTAGAAGAAATCGAACTTGTTTATGATAAAGCGTTTATCATAGATACAGATAAATGTTACTGCACATTGAAATTGTTGTCCAATATCGATGATAAATGGTTGGAATTTATGCGTCGTCAAAAATTAGATTGGAATAACTTCAAACGGAAATTAATTAGCCAATTCGAAGGAAAGAAGGACCCATCACGTATTGAATTGGAAGATGCTATTCGAAATCGACGTTATCATGATAATGAATCTATGCATCAATATTATTCTGATATCATGCGACAATGCGATTTATTAGAGACAGAATATACAGTTTCAGATCGTCATCGTAGTGATTATATAATTCGAGGTCTACCTGATAGTATTCAAGATCAAGTATTAATTAGAGAATATTCAACACCAAAAGAATTATTAGAAGTATTGCAAAAAATTGAAGAGCGCCGAAAACGGACAAATTTTGAACAACATGTTACTACTATCCGTTTCAAAATAGAAGACACCTTACGGTTTTTTCAATAACTTTTGATAGGAACAAGATAGAGACCTCCGATTTTCACCATTTGAAAGTGAAATCTTGGGGCTATAAATATATGGCAAATTCTATTGGTCAGCAATAGGCCAATCAGGTGCGTTCTTGGTGGACATTTTCAAAACGCTATTTTCAAAATGTTTCCCATTCAATTTTAACTTATAATTATACTATTCGATAGAGAAAATTGTTCTCTTTCGATCTACGCAAAGCCGAGATTTCTAGCTTGTTCCCTTCATAAGTTATAAGGGTTTTCCTGAGACCCCCGATTTCGGCTACTTCACCTTGAATCACCCCAGAAGTGGCCAAGACAGAGATAATTCACCACGCTGAGTCGAGTGGTGATGTTTGTTTTTACTGTCAAAGCGATATTGAANATTTTGGATGTGGAGGGCATTTTTCCGCTTGAAATGAGCATTTATCTCAACACTCCAAATAACTCCTATATAACGAACAAATACATCCACTCATTGAGACACCACAATAAGTCAGCAGTGGACAACAAATCGATCGGTGAGATAAATGCTCATTTCAAGCGGAAAAATGCCCTCCACATCAAAAATGAATTTTTTTCCATTCTGTTCATATAGGACGACCGTTACATACATATATGCGCATGCGTCCACATTCCATTCGTATCTCATTCTTCTATCATTTCTATTCAGAAAAGGAAGACGTGCGAAAACAACCCCTCCATATACGGTAAAATTTACATCATATCATAGATCATCTCAATTTCATCATTTCGTTGACAAGCCACTAGATAATATAACCATCCTATATTCAATTCGACTAATTAACAATAAAACCGTATATCTCTAAACAAACAGAAAAAAATGCGTTTCTTCGAAAAACTTTTCTTACAGCCGTGAGCATAATTTCTATTGATCTGCATTTTTTCGCTCCAATAATATTAAATATGATAAGACTGTTATATTTCCTTCGTACAAGTCTAACTAAATGCAATCTTCTTAAACGACACTTGATTAATGAACCTATCTAGACCATTTTCCTATAAACCTGGGAACTTTTCCCAAGAGTCGTTGCGTTCTGCTCCGGTATTCTACTTTCTACTTTATTTTGTCTGTCTCACACTAGCAATCATCATCCCTATCATCTTCCATTTTTTCCGCTCAGCTGCTATCTATCTACGCGGTGAAGTATTTAACATCTTTTATAATGACTTCACCCATTTCTCGATTTCATTTTTCTTCTAGCACTACTAACTATTCCCACCAATTTTCAATCTCCCTCTCACATAGTATCTATATACCTATAGCACTATCAAACAATTTTTCCCAGGAAACAAAACATTCTTTCATTGTTACATTTCACTTTTCCTGTACATATGTTCATTATTCCTATTCATTTTCCTTTTTCCGCTACAATAGAATATATATACTTATACACATATGTAACACTTTTCTCAGAGAAGAAATCATTTTTTCATTTTTCCATTTCACTTTTCCTATAGATATGTTCATTATTCCTATGCATTTTCATTTTTCCGCTGCAATAGAATATATATAGTTTTTCACATACGTAACACTTTCTCAGAGAAAAAATTATTTATCCATCTTTAAATTTCATTTTCCCTATAGATATGTTCATTGTTCCTATGCATTTTCATTTTTCCGCTGCACTATAATGTATATAGCTATTCACATATCTAACATTTTTCTTATAGAAGAAATCATTTTTTCGTTTTTCTATTCCACTTTTTCTATAGTTATCTTCATTATTCGTGTGCATTTTTTGATTTTTCTGCTGCAACAGAGTATATATAGTTATTCACATATGTAACACTTTTCTCAGAGAAGAAATCATTTTTTCATTTTTCCATTTCACTTTTCCTATCGATATGTTCATTATTCCTATGCATTTTCATTTTTCCGCTGCACTTTAATGTATATAGCTATTCACATATGTAACAATTTTCTCAGAGAAGAAATCATTTTTTCATTTTTCTATCCCACTTTTCCTATAGATATCTTCATTATTGCTTTGAATTTGCATTTTTTCGCTGAAATTGTACCTGTATGCGTATTGAAGTATGTTTCAGCTAAGCATTTTTGACTGACGCCACATTTTTCCGCTGGAAGTAAGCATTTATGTCACCGATCAATTCAATGTCCAACCTTCCAATAAGTATCAATACAGAAATAAGTCCCGCGATCTATCTCAACATTCAAAATATGTCCTACGAAGCAAATCAATATCTCAACTCAACGAGAGACCACAATAAGTCACAATAAAGAAATAGGCCCAGGGATATATCTGAACAATCGACATAAGTCCCACCAAACAAAAAAATATGTATCTGCACACAGTGCGACACGACAATAAGTCTCAATAGAGAAATAAGTCATGCGACCAATTGGAACACTCGAAATAAATCCTACAGAACGAGCAAATGTCTGAATCCATTTAGAAACCAGAATCATTCTCCACAAAAGAAATACATCTCGCAATTTATCTTAACACTCAAAAGAAGTCCCAACAGACAACCAAATATCTGGACTGACTGACGTGAGACACTAAAATAAGTCCCAATACAGAAATAAATCCTGGGATCTATTAGAAAGCTCCAATAAATCCCAAAAAAATCAGTCCCACTAGCTGCTGGATACAATACAAAATTATGTTGAACTAACATGTCAATTNTTTCGTCTTATACATTATCGAAGAAAAAGACGTGCCCGCTCCTCCTCTTTCGATTGGTGAAAACCGCAGGTAGCTAGGTATTGCGGTTGTCGAGTTATTGGGGTTACCCTCACCCCTCTTTTATTCTGGCGCAGACATTAGTCGTATAACATCATCAGTACTGAGCGAGTAACAACAGTAACCAATGATGAATTAGATAATCCATATGCTGATACAGATACACATAATCAATTTAGAGCTGTGCTGAAATGTGATAAATGTAGACAACCTATTGAATGTATTGGTTATTGTATAATAATATGTGAAACACTTGTTCATCATGAACCAGCTATTACAGCTCCATTACTTATGGATATCATTGAAACAATTGGAAGAGTTGCTGCATCTCATAGATACGCATGGCAAGAAAATTCAACTGTTGTTGCACTGACTAATTCAACTAGTACTGCACAACAATTTATTCATTGTGCATTTCAACAATAAGTTGCAGATAATATTTCTTATCAATGTTTTCAACAAAATTTTCAGGGTTTGATTCTGATATAAATAAAACCTTGAATAAGAAAACTTTTTTGTTTCAGATGAAAAATCATTACATACAGTTGCTTTATCATGGAATGATTTTCCAGAATTTAATTCAATTATTGCACCTAAATGGCTTCCTAATGTAAATTTTTCTTTCTCGAAAATGTCATATCACGCATATAGAAGTTTAAGAAGGCGAGAAATGAAATCATTCTTTGCATTTTAAACTCTTGAATATTTGATAATTTATTTCAAAACAAAATTTAATTATTATTTATTATAGGATATAAATGAACAAAAATGTCTTTCTCTTGACATTTCTACAACATTACCCAGTAATATCGCACAATTTATGGAATATATTTCGATTGATTCACCTATTCAATTATGGACAAGTGCATTTCTTGAATTTGATTTTTTATTTGATAAATTAACACGTATTTATACAACAATTAAATCTAGTACACCAATTAATTATGGTTTAACTTCCATACTTCGTATTATGATGAGCATACTTCAAGTTCTATATTAGCAAATGTGAGACGTGTTTTTGATCCATTTTCAAAATTATTAACATTTATTTTACAAAATGAAACATTTCAATTAGAACATATTATTCAATTATGCTCAATAAGTAATCGAACATTTACACGAATAAAAAAATATTAGAAGAAAAGTTTTTCAGAATTTAAAAATTTCTCTTTTCTGTAATAGGATCGAGAAAAACTTTGATTACCAAGATTTATTGCTAATGTTCTTGTTGAAGCTATGTTTCATCGACATCCATGTCCGGATAGAAATTTACTTTTAATGATTTAAATAAATGTTTCTTTTGATTTTCGCTTTTGCAATAAATTTTTATTTTTATTCAGTTAATTTCGCTTGATGCTGATGGTACAATTTATATCATTATGAGAGAGATTGAAAAGTCGACTTTTTTTGCGCCAGACCGATCGAGCTGAAATTTTAGGATATGAATTATGACTAATACTTACACATATTGTGAAAGTTTCATCTTTATACATATAATGGTTGCAGAGATATAATTTTTTGTAATTAGGTAAAATNACAACATAATACATCAAAACGATCACCAGATGACGTCACATAGTATGAGCTCCTGATATACACATTCAGAAATGCATCCTTCAGCGTAATGCTAAATATTGTCGCACAAAAAGAAAAAAAACTCAATCAATGATCTTATTTATTGATTTTGTGGTTTACTAAAATTAGAAAATAAAATTAGAAAATAAAAATAAAAAATAAAAAAAATAATAATTTACTTTGCCCATTCAACTTTCAAAATGAGATGATCATAACCAAAACCAGAAACACATTCAATAGCTTTTTGTGCATCTTTCTTTTCATTAAATGTTATAAAAGCAAAACCTTTTGATGTATTATTTGTTTTATCTTTAGCTAAAAATACTCGACTAACAGAACCAAATGGAGTAAATAAATCACGTAAATCTTGTTCTTGAGTTTCTTCAGGTAAATTTGTTACTCGAACAGTTGCTTCATCTATATTTATTAAAAATAAAACAAAGTAATTTTATTTATATTTGAATTTCGAAATAAAAAAAAACTGTAACCTTGTTTTCTCATATCATTCGATCTGCCACCATATGAACCACCACGTGTTGATCCTCCTCGATCACCAGGATAAGCAGTACCTGTACCACCACGACGTACTGATTGAGATACCCATTTACCAGTTGATGCTTCACCACTTGTTCCTATTGAAGCATTTTGACCTTGAGATGTTGCATTACTAACTGATGTTGATATATTATCACCTTAACAAAAAAATTTTTTGTTTTTTTTTTGTTATTATTTTCTATAAAATAAATACTTGGTTTATCTGTTGATTGATCCATAAAAGATTGAAGATTATCTTTATATGGACATTTTGTTGTCCAATGTTCACCTTTACATAAACGACATTGAACTTTACGTAATGTTGATACAGCATCTTTAATAAGATTTTCTTCATATTGTTTATCATCCTTAATAATAATTAAAAAAATAAAAATAAAAATAAAAATAAAAGTAAAAGTAAAAATAAAAACTTCTTTATTTGAAATAAATTGCATTGTTATTTCATCATCAACTTTAGTTGTTGCTGTATTTATACCAGCTGGATCATTTCCAGCATTTCCAAATTTTTTCCATTTTTTTCGTTCGGCAACAATTGGTAAAACTTTTAATTTTTGATTTCGATAAGTTTTAGTTGTCTAAGATAAATAAAAAATATTTATTTTAAAAAAGAAAAAACAAAAAAAGTTAAATACTTTATAAATAGTTCCATTTTCCTCTCGATATTCAACACGAATTGTTTTTCCATCATTTGTTTCATGAACTTCATTAGCTGGAACTAAACATAAATATTCAAATAAATAATTATATAAAGAAAAATCAAATTTATTTAACAAACTTCTTTCATGTTCAACTTGATGATGCCAATCGCGTTTTGTTGTCATTTTTATTTTATTTAACTAAAATTAAAATACAATTAAATCAAATCAATTACAACAAACGATTATTATATATAGATATCGACTAATTTCATAAGAATTCATTGACCAATCATATTGTGAAACATTATTTAACCATTCGAATTTTGTTTTTTTCTCATTAAAATATAGATGTCTCTACAAGATTATTATCATTTATTCTATTTAACTATCTTTGCTCCGTTTTCGATACTTTTCGAGAAAAATTTATAAGATATATTTGAAATATTCCATTAGTCTACAAATTGTTAATTCGTTACGAGTTTTAAACTTGTTTTAGAATTAAAAATTATCTAATTGTTGATGTATGCTACTTGTTTAGCTTTAGCTCTGTGTTCCTTTTATGTACTAGGCACACCTGATGCGTTCTGTTTTGTGTGTTCTTTCGCGTGTGTTCGTATTTAGCAGCATCCAAAGTATCACCTGATATATAACAAGTAGTATGAATAATTTAAAATTCTAAGCAAACTTTAGAAATCATAACAACTTNTACCCTACCATATGAGCAAAAACGACTTATTTCGACACAAGAAAGGAAAGAAAAAAAAAGCGATGCGTAACTTTGTAACTCGTGTTATGATGCATCGAATGAGATAAAATATTTGCCTCTATCACTTACGTAGAAAAACTAGATAGGTTTACAAAATTCACCTATAAGTGATGCACTCGACAAGATTCGATGCGTCACCACCAACACAATTTTGGATCTAGAGTCGGTTTGAAAGCTTTTCTAGACTCAGTCTATCATGCTGAATCAGAAAAAAATAGTTTCAACACCAAAAATATAGAACAAAGTCGAAAATTTTACACATTTCGTGAAAAGATGCATTTTTCTTGAAAACCGACTTCTCCCGAGTATTCCGTATTTTTTGACCGGAAGGGAGTTTTTGCTAAGCTTAAAAAGTAGATATTCGTAATCAGCAGCTAAAACTCTATCAAATGATGTAAAAAAAAAAGGCAAAAAAAAAATTTCACTCGAAATTCGCTTTGCCGGCACCTTACATAGATAATAACTTAGTAATCTCATTTTTTTAACCTATGCTATAAACTTGTTCTTATTCGCTTATGTTGCTATCATCACTGTGTTATCATGCCGTACAACTTTGCATGTATGTTAAGGTGCAAACACGAAAGTTTACGAGAATTCCTAGGAGGTCTCACGTAAAAACTTTTAGAGTCCATAAAATTATAAACATTTACGCAAAATTGCATATAACATTTCCAAATCATTGCAACTTCATTGGACAACGGCTATTACTAAGACTCTAATCATATAGACGATTAAATGTTAGATGTTATTTGATGTATATGATGATAAGAAATTGCAGAATTTTCCATGAAATTATCCGTATGATTTCACTGACTTTTGTATCTTTCTAGTAGAGAGTTTAATTACTGACTCTTATAGAGTTCTATGGACCTTCGTTGAATCCACCGTTTTCCTTGTACATGTATACTGTATTCCAGACTTTGATCAAAAATTAAAAATCATTGTGTATCCATGCGAAAAGAATTCCATCGTTAAAGACTTAAGCGAAAAATTGATTTTGATTTATATAATTGTGATTCGTAGGTATAAAATGAATATTTATATTATTTTGTAAATGTAAGTGAGTATGATTAATAAGTTTCAGTAGGAAAATGTAGAATTTCACTTTTGTTTTTTGTTTTAAAATAAATCAACAAGTTAAAGTTGATCGATGAGAATATAAAAAAGAAAATCAATTTTGTTTTTTAAATTGTTTATTAATTGAAATGAATGATTGATAAATAAATAGAAAAAAATTGAATTAAAATAAATATTTTAATATTTTGTTTTTTTGTAGTTTTATTCTAAACAAAATTTGATTTGATTAACGTATTAGAATTCCATATAGTGTTAATTGAAATTGAATTAAGAAGAAATAAAAGACAATATGTCAATAATTATTGAAACTCCATATATATTATCATTGAAAGAAGAATATTTGACAAGTCGATGTTCATCATGTTTTCAATGTGCATCAAATAAATGTTCTATTTGTGAAATAATAGTTTATTGTAATGATAAATGTCAAATAAATGATGAAATTTATCATAAATTGGAATGTGAAGCTTATAAAAAAAATTCAAAAGAAACAAAATTAGAAGAATCAGTTATAGCACGTATGATAGCTCGAGTGATAACTCGTTTAAATTTAGATGGTGGTCAACCTAAATATGATTTATGTATAAATGTACCAAAATGTATTGATCGTCGATCATGGTCTGATCTTTTAGGACATCGAGATGATATTATTCATTCAGATCGACATTTAAACATTTGGTTAACAACAAAAAAACAAATTCAATTATTATTTAAAGATAAATTTAATAATATTGATCTATTAGAAATTTTTGGAAAAATTTTAATTAATCGATTTCGTGTTGGTTTTATTGAAAATATATTTAATGGACGAATAGCTATTGGTTGGGCTATTTATTTAACAACATCACGTTTTAATCATAGTTGTCAACCAGATTTACTTCAATGTTCATATGATATAAATATGCGTTTAAAATTTTCCGATCCTAATAAAACTATTCCTCAAACAACATTAGAATTTGATAAATTAACAGTTAGTTATCGTCATCAAAATGATTTTCGATTAGAAAATCCGTTAACATATGTTCCAACTCGAAGACAACGTCGAATATTTGTTAGTTTCTTTTTTTTTAATTGTCATTGTATTTATTGTAATGATGATTTACGTAATCGTTATGATGAATCAGCTACAAATCGTTTATGTAATCAATGTGAAAATCCATTAGTATTACAAACAAATTCTCATGATCGAACTATTTCATTAATTAATTGTTTATCTAAAAACAAATTTTGTCAAACTGAACAAATTATTGATCATATTCAAATATCAACTATTGATTATACTGAACAATCAATTGACATTTATGAACAAAAATTAGAAAATATTCAACAATTATTACATCAAAATTCTATATTATTATTACAAGAAAGAGAAAAAGTTTTTTTTGCTTATCAAAAACTTTTACTTGATAATCATTTAGATGATAATCAACGTATTAATTATATTAATCGTGCTATTCAATTAGGAGAACTTTTAGTTGAACAATATGATCTTCATTTGAAACATTCATCTATTTATCCAAAAATTTTTCTTACTGATTTAGCTAATCTTTGTCAAATAGCTGGAAAAATATCTCAAGCTAAGAAACTCTATCAAAAAGCTCTTCATTTATGGCAATCCGATTATGGAAATTATATTGATTATAAAGAATTATATACAAAATTATGAATATTGATATCATTATCAACGAAAAACAAAAAAATCTTTCATTTTTATGAAATAATTTTATTAATTATAATCAATAAACATTTTATCATTTTTTTTAAATTTCATTCTATAAATCCTAGAAGATCTATCAAGTACTTCTATTTTAGGTTGTTTTTAGCCCTTTCAATCCTGTATGTCAACTGCAAGATAACATACAGAACGAAAAAGAAATATTTTTTGCGTTCATTCGTCTTCTTGGACGACGAACATCAAGGATTATGTACATGATTGTTCTAATTTCTAATTTCTAGTCCTAATTTTTAATCTAATTGCCAAACTATTTGGCAAATCTGGCAAACTGTTGCTAAATTTGCCAAATTTTTGCTAAATTTCTCAAATTTGCCGAAAATTGGCCACATTTGGCTGATGCCAATTTTTTTGCCAGAATTTGCCAAATTTTCCCGAAAAAACACCTTTTTATAACTTTCTCAAATTTGCCAACAATTTGCCAGATTTGGCATCTACCAAATTTTTGCCAGAATTTGCTAAACTTTCCGAAAAACAACAACTTTTTATAACTTTTTAAAATTTGAACAATCATAGAAAATATTGTTAGTGTTGAACTGAAGTTTCTTCTTCGCAGATCGTCTTCTGCAGCAGTAGTTTCATTTAATGGAAATGGAAAATATCCACAGGTAAATTCAATAAGTTTCACAGATAAGAAAAAATGTACACAAAACAATATTTCAGAAGAGTAGAGAGAAGCGAGAGATGATAAGGTTAATCCCAAGTGTCTGTTTGTTCAAATCTTGTTCATTTCTTTCGTTTTCTTGGCGGCTGCTTTTTTACTATCAATTTCTCGAACACTGCTAAGTTTGTCGGTAGACTGGACATTTTCGCCGAGATGCTTTTGATTCTTTTTGCGTCGAGAACAATATCTTCTGCGGACAGAATTGATGTCGCATTGGTCTCGGCTTGCCACAGATTAATGTCGACTGTTGTGGGACATGTGTTGACATTTTTTACTTCGTTTAGCCATTGTACGAATGATGTTGAATGACGAAAATTGAAAATGATCTTCTTTCATGCTTCATCTCGACCGTAGGCAAGGAGGTGATTCATCATTTCGTTCGTGAAGGTCATGTCACTGTCATCAACAATGGGAATGTGTAGTTTGCGCTGCGATGATGTTGCTGCTGCTTTTCCTAGTCGACGAGCCTAATATAAAGAAATAAAAGACGACAGATAAATAATAATAGTACACACGAAAATGTGGACAAAAAGATAAAACCGTAGGAAGCAAAAAATGTTCTATTTTCCTACTGTAGTCTTTTCTCTCTACTGTCTACAACTAAGAACAATCAAATATAAACTCTAAAAATCTTTTTTCTCTCTCTTTCTGCCTCTCTTTCCGTACTCAGATGCTAAGATGTTCCAACGCGCCCTACGCGAAGAGACCAAGTACATGCTTTGAATCGCCTGGTCGTTGAGCACGTTCATAATGACGTTCGCGTGTGCCAGCTGTGTGCGAGAGTGCCAAATCGACAAGTCTCAAATCATTCGATGACGTTGCAGCGTCTCCAGCCAAGCCATTGGCAACTGGTCGAATATCGGTGCTTGCCAGTGTTTCACACATTGTTAAGAAGAATTGAACACCGTAGTTTTCAGCAAGTCGATCGACGAGTTTCGATGAGGCGCTAGTTATGATTTTTGTTTGTTTATTGTTGATAATCAAATCGTATAAGGTCAGTAGACCACTTGTCAAGTGCCGACCGTAATGAACTGTGATGGGAGAGTTTGTTTCAGGCGTGACGAACACGGGATGATCATTGGCCTGCTGAATTGATTTTTGCTTGGCCAATGTTGCTGCTGTCATATAACTAGTAACAGCTTGTCTTGTTTGGTACATTACAGTACGCCCTAGTCGGGCTTCTACCATCGAGATCAGTTTTTGGATGAACGATTTTGTTAGTGTGCACTCCAGAGCTTTCCCATTTTTGTTTTCGTTTATTGTTATTGTCGAATGGGTATCGTCGCACCGCTGCGGTCGAAGCAAATCGAATAATGTTAACCGCGCTATTGATGACGGGCGAGCGAAAGCCGTAAAGAAAAATCGGCTGAATAGGAGAGGCGGCAACGATGGCGAGTCGTCCGCAAGACTCTCGATGAATCGAACACAGCGACGATCTCTGTACAGAGCCACCAGAGTTGCGACACAGTCGATCATTGGTGCTGACGAACGACTTGCTACTTTATCGCCCATTTTCTTGGACGACTGTTTCTTGTACAGCTTCTGTTTGATATTATTTCGGGTGACGGCTTCCAGTAGCTGCAGCTTGAAGAAATTTGAGAAATTCAGCTCTTTCGTCGTCATTGGTTTGAGCAACACAGTGACGTTATTAGCCACGTAGGTGATCAATTTATTGAGGTGACTAATATATGTTGTTAAAGTCATGCTGCTGATTTCTTCATCGTTATGTTTCGTTGAGTAGTTTTCCGATAGGACTGTCACCCATGATTGGACAAAGCGCTCCTCGGCGAGATAGGCTACATCCCACTGTCTGTCATCAAGATTATTTGAACGGTAAAATGCTTTAATAGATCGTACATAGTTACTGCTAGCAGAAGCTGAATTCCCAGATTTTAAGAGGAATTTTTCAAATTCTTCTGCTTTCACGAAGAATTGGTTCACTTTGGCAGGCTAGAAAAAAGAAAAAAATTCTCGAATTTTTTACGGATTGACGTTGAGAAGAGCAGAATAATTTGCAAATTTGGTGTTGTCTCTTTCTTTTTTTTCCAGCGACTTAGAAGGAGCAGCTCGTTAAAGGATGGGGGAATCGTAAAAATTTAACGAAAACAAACAGTTACCGGTAAAGCCATTGCCACATAGCCATCTTCTTCCTCCGATGTATTCTCATCATCGTCTTCGACTCTTTTTCTGGTAATAACTTTAGACGGCTTTTTCATTGATTTCCGTGCAGCGATACGAGGAGGCGACGAGACGGGCGATGGAGAATTTGAAGCCATGACAGGTACATCGTTACGAGTTGAGACGGCCGTTTTCTTCTTTGTGACAGTTGCCGCTGAAGGTACGGACGGTGAAACATTTTCGTCTTCACCAGCTGACTGATCTTCATTGTCGTTTGATAGATTGTGCAGATCAGGCATAACAGGCGGTGATGACAAACAAGCACCGGTAAGACGAGCTAAACGAAGTAATTAATAAAAAAAAACGTAGCTTCTTTCCTATTTCGAAAAAATACAAGTAGAAAGTTACCAGTAGTATCTTCAGTTCGACTTTGCGTTTGCATAGTTATCAATCGTTGTAGTTGGTCCAGACTTTGTTGTTGCTGTTGCATTTGCTGTGTCAACATAATCAATGGGTTGGTGATCAAGTTCACCAGCGTAGCGAGATCCTGAGTGCCACCGTAATTACTGTTGTTGTTGTTCAGTTGTAGTGGCTGATTGTGTGTGCTGCTGAACTGCTGAGCTGTCGACTGAGCTGGCTGATTGCCTGAAAAATGAAAGATAGTTGAAAAAGCCGATTCTTCAACTCTCTTACCGCTTGGCGCTTCGCCGAGAAAATATACCGTGGCTTCATCGATATGTAAATTCGTTGATGTTGGCAATTGTTTCTTGATAGCATCGATGATTATTCGACACGCTGGCGTTTGAAATCTGTGCCATGTTTGCAAATGACCATAGATACTACATTGCTTCTTTGACACTCGACATTGCTTGACATTTGATAATCCAAATGCTTTGCCTTTTTGAAATGGACAATGTGCGATACATATGAGACTTGTGTCAGCTGTCGTGACTGGGACAGTGGCGGTGGTTGCATTAGTATCTGGCATAATATTTGCAATGAAAATAACAACCTCTATATAAAGTACGTGTTATGCAATAAAGAAAAATTAATGTGAAAATGATAAATGCTCCTGCAAGTAGAAAATGATAAGAAGTATCGGTCATATTTTTTGACAGTGTATATATAGATATGCCCCGCTAAGAACACTGCCGCAGCCGACGGCAGAGAAAGAAACGTTGAACTTTCGACGCCGTCGTTGATTGAAACAAATGTCTGTTCTTTTCTGATTTACTGTTATTATCAAACAAACTGATCGATAGAAGCAGACGTTGAAACTAACGCATATATTTTTGGGAAATTGATGAAACTTTTGGCAGATATGGCAAATTTGGGAAATTTCTCACAAATTTGGAATTTGGCATATCCACCAAATATTTGGCAAAGCCGCCAAATATTTGTGAAATTTGAGAAACTCTGTTTGCCAAATCTGGCAAATTTGGGACAGATTTTTGGTCAAATTTATCATTTGCCAAATGCGTTACAAATTTGGCAAGTTTTTAGCAAAAATTTGAAGGAAAATTTGAGAAAATTTGGCAAATTTGGCAAATGCTAATCGTGACGAAAATTTGAGATAAATTTGGCAAATTTTCGAAGTTTGACAGATTTTTGGCAAATTCGCCAAATTTTTGACAAATTATTTGGTAAATTTGTCTAAATTTTGTCAAATGTCAAAGTCAATCATTTTCAACCTGTCCCACATCTATATGTATTGTTATGACGTTGTGAGTGTGTGAATTTAATATAAAATAGTTACTTTCTCAACTGATAAATAGATAGAACAACATATGTTGCACCATTTTCACGGGGTTATATAATTTCTTTTTAATTGAAATTCTTTGTATTTATGTTTTAGATACTTCCAACACGTACGATGATAATCATTGATGAGTTTGTGTGCAATGATTATNAAAATAAATACAATAAAAATAAGACAGAATAAAATAAAAGAAAAATAAAAGAAAATTATATACAATTAAATAAAAATAAAATAAAAGTATAAAAATAAAGGATCTATGGATATTTTCCTACCATCCGATTTCGTCGGATCCGACAAGTTCCCATTGCTGGATATCATCGGATCGTATTGTCGGATGTCATCGGATCCTATTGTCGGAATCCGGCATCGGAAATCGTGGGAAACTGTCGGATAGTCTCGGATCCGATAGGATCCGACAGGGTGATTTCGACCTGGGTGATGATATTGTATGAAATCTCTCCAAATTGTTGAGCGTTCAAAAGTCAATCGAAATTCAAGAAATAACCATGGAAAGTAATTCAATAGCTATTGTCTACTTGAAAAGAATATCTAAAAAGTAAGTTAAAAGAATCAGATTTTCCGTAGAATATCACAGCAACTACCTAGAATAGATGACGTAGAAAGATAATTGAAATTTTGTTTCCCTAAATCAACAGGGAACAATAAATCATGTAAAAAAATTCTAAAAACTAATTAAAGATTGTAATTGATCGAATATGATTGAAAATCTTTCATAAAACTATAAAAACTACCGACAATTTATTGCTTAATTGTAACTTGTCGATGCTAGAATTAACAACAAAAGATTAGCTAGAACATTTTTCTGTGCAATTCAAATGAAATAAAAAGTTGATTTTTTCATGTTATCAAAACTAAACTATAATTAATTGAATATTTCAGTGTAAATAATTATTTTATGAAATAAATATCAATTATATTAGAAAATATTCATTAAAAGAATTTCTTTTTATGAAATTCGTTTTGTTTTTTTCATTTATGTTTTTCGAAAAAAGAAAAATCAATTAACGATATAAAACGAAACGAATCATTGCATATGTTCTTCTTGTTTATTTTCTTGTTGTTGAATTGATAATGGTTCATATGTCCATTTTGGATAAATACGTTTATAGAGATTCATAAATACAGTATCTTGTGATTTAAGAATTCCATCAAATAGACATTTCATATGACCATGTGTACCAAGTGATTCTTTAATATGTCCTCGTCGACCCCATCGTGTACGTAATTCAATTGGTTTAAACCAATTAACATTCTCTATTATAAATAATAGCAATTTTAGAAAGAAAAAAAAAAGAAAAGAAAATTAAACAAACCAGGATTAAAAAACATATATCGAATAACAGCTGATCTTTTATGAATTTTAAATGAATGTCCACTTAATACTATTCTTTTTAATATAATACGATCAGGATTAACTGATAGAATATAGAACCAGTTGCTATTAATTCTTGACGACCTTTAATTTAACAAAACAAATCGAACTAAACAAAATAATTTATTTAAATAAATAAAATACCATCAGGATATTGTTTAAATGCTAAAACTGATGCAGATGGATATGTTATTGGACCAAAACATGTTGCAACAAGAGTTTGTCGTGGACGAAAAAATCTTTCAAACTAATTTCAAAATATTCTTTTTTTGTTTTTTTATATTCTTATTTAAAATAAATGACAAAACAAACTTTATGTTTATTTCCATTTGAATGTTGAGAATAAATAGGTGAACTTGCAAAACGACGAAAACCAACATGAAATATAAGACGTTCTTTTGATTTAAGAATTATTTCACTATCATTTGTACGATTTAAAACAATATTTAATACTGATAAACATTGTTCATGTGGTAAAAGACTCGTTACAGTTAAATGATAACCAGGTTCTTTTTATTGAAAAAGAAACAATAACAAAAATTAAAAGAAAAATTTCTTACCAAATCGAGTTACAGGCACATCTTTTACATAAAGAGTTACATAAGTATGTACCTACAACAAATATTTATATCGAAGAAAATCTCTTTTCAATTCTGATCAACTGTATATTATTCAATGGTTTCCTTTGGAGAAGACAATTCTATTTTATTGAATATCAATCAATAGATTATCTTTTTTTATGATTATTTCTATTTAATTAAAGATAAATCATATTAAATCTGTGATTTAGACAATCATAGTATAGAGTTTGTCTCTCTACCATTCAGAAAAGAAAAATACTTCAATAATAAATAGATTTAAAAAATAAAATGAACTCTACTAATATAGAAATATGTATAAATATAAATAAAAAAAACCTGAGCATGATCTTGTTTATGTTGATTATTTTCTTGTTCGGATTGTAGTTGTTTAATTATAGCACGAAAATTAGGAAATTGATAAATTCTTCCATAATCATATGGTAAATTTTCTTTTGGATCCTATTTTGTTGTTCGAAAACTTTTTAAACCTCGATATCTTAATTAGAATAAATAAATCTATATTAGTTTAGAAAAATATAGATGAAATACTTTTGAAATCTAACACGTGCTGGAACATCGATTGGTGTATCAATTTCATCAGGAAATTGTTCATCTAATTTCGCTTCTTTTAATTTTTTTAAACTAAAATATATTTTATTAAGATTTTTATAGAATTAAAATAGATAAAAACAAACGTTTGTTTATCTTCTTCTAAATCTGTTTTCTCATCATAATTATTTGGATTCATAACAATTTCATCCATTTCTTCTTCTTCTTCTTGATCAAGTTTATTTGATTGTAGATCATCATCATCATCATCATCATCAGTCATCATATGTTGATTATCTTCATCGAAATCCTATGTATATTGAAAAATATTTTAAATTTTAAAACAGCAAAATAAATATTTACTTGATTGATCGATTGATTTTGATCATCTTCATCATCCGAAACAATCCATGCAGCTTGATATTTCGACGTACCATTGGGTACACGTTTTTTAATTTGATGTTCATTTTGTTAAATATCATCTTTAGTTGGCCATGTTTGTTTTTGATCGAAATTCATTGGATCTTGTTCAGCTTCATATCCTAATGATTGTTGAACATTAGGATCAGATTCATATGTTTTATCAACATTTATTTTTATTATTCCATCAGACTAAATATTCGAATATAAATTATTTTATTTTCAATGATAAAAATTATTTGTTTTTTAGAAAGTTACATCTCATTGAAATCGATGTTGTTCAATTTTTTCTAATTGAAATGTTCCTAAATTTGGAGTATAGACAAGATTATTTGGTGATAAGTCAATTCCACGTAAATATCCACTTAATTTTAATGTACTTTTTGATGACTTAAATATAATAGAATATATATTTAATTTTCTTAAATAGTTATTTTATTACTTTTGAATCTAAATAAGAAAAATCTTGAGCAAATAAATAAGATCTTGAAAATGATTTATTTATTTTAATTAATTTAAGTTGAGTTAATTTCAATAAAAGATGTTGACCATCTAATTGATTATTTAATGGTACTAATTTAACATTTGAATATTTTTTTTCACGATATTTTTCTAAATTTTTAAATGATGAAGTTTTTGATGTTGATGATGATATTGTTGACATTGTTTCATCATTCGAATCAATTATTGAATAAATAATATTTCCCGGAAGACAATAAACGTTAATTAAATCAAGTAAATACTCTCCTTCAATTGATATACCTTTTGATGATGATAACACAAATAAGATGGGTGTGGGTGTGGGTGTGGTTGTGGCACAGTGGGGAGCCAGGCGGACATATGCGAAAATATTCTTTTTCAGAATCTAATCGTTTGCGCAGATACATGCATATGTGATCTATCATTTTCTAAAATAGTGGTTCTCAAAGTTTTATAGAGCCCTAGATAAGAGCTTGGCAAAGCTTTGGCCCAGAAATCGGCATAAATAAAGAAAGTCAAGCCGCTCGGCAATATAACACAATATTCCAAAAGCAAACNTTGCCTTGGTTCATTGTTCTAACATTCCATGTTCCAATTGTGTGTAATTCCTTGCAGCATCGCACTTTCCTTTCGACCCTGGACACATCAGTAGCTGGACGTCCTTTCGGCTTTGATCCAGCCACTTCATCAACTCCATGGCTACTCGTAATTGTACTTTGCTCTTCCCCAGTAGCTTTTTGAGTACCTTCCAACCTGGGGGGCTCATCTTCCGGTACTATATAGAGATTGCTTTGGGTGTAATTGTTCATATTGGTTTTCTTGGTAGAATTCTGGAGTGGGTTGCCATTTCCTTCTCCAGTGGATCGAATTTGGTCTGATCCCTCAGCTATGACCTATCCGCCATGAGTGATCCTTCTGGAAGTATGTTCTCCCGACGGTATAGCTCGCAGCCTCCTTGGAATAAACAAGCCCCTTCACCGCGGCAAGGTAACGATTCATGAAGGGAGGAACTTTGCAGACAAACAACAACAAAAAAAGAAAAGTAGCTGCGTGAGATAACGCTTTGTAATATACATAAACCTATTCCCGAAAAACATTTTGTTTATTAAAAAAGAGTTTTGTTCCGAAGTTTTTTAAAGAAAAAGTTTTCTTTATCAGCACCCGGCTCAATCAATTATTTCTCTGCAAAACTTTCAAAGCATTTCAGTAGACCTATACAAGAAGGCTCAACCTCTAATGGTTCAGAATTGCTGGATGGAGCCTTCTCTATTTCTTGATCACTACAGAAAGCTTTTTTTAAAATTTAGAACCATCATGAAAAACTCTTTTCTTTCAGAATATTTCAAGTATTTATTGAATTCGTTTAGTGAGACGCCAATAATCTTGCGTTTATATATTTAGTTCAAGAAAATACAAAAAAAAAAGAAACACAACATTTACACTTATGCATTGCAGTTTGTGCTTAATAAAACTCGAATACTTCCTGCCTCGGGATCAATATAAGCCATATCATCTTTGCCATCTTTATTGAAATCAGCGACAACTAGTGACCGAGCACAATCTCCGCGGCTTCCTTTGTTCACTGGAAAAGGTAGAGAACTGCGATGAAAGATTCCGATATCTGTTCCAACAAAAATGGTCACAGTTCCACTGCAATTCAACACAGCTACATCATCAATCGAATCATTGTTGAAATTGATTCGAGCGATGGATGTTGGATATGCATCTGTCAGATAAATGTGTTGAGTGAATGTTTGATATCCATAAGCTAGTAGATTCTGCATTGTGTCAGACTGAGGAGAGATAAGTGCGAGATCGTCTAACTCGTCCCAATTAAATCGACCTCGAATTAATGATGACGGATATGCGTACATTGAGATTCTGCTGTCAAAAAATCCATTTATATCACTAAAATCAATTGAATATATGGTCCTAGCGGAACCATCAGTTTTTATACCAGTAAAATCATTCTGTTTTCCGTCATTATCAAAATCTCCAATAGCTACGGAGATTAGACCGTCTACAATATAGTCGAATCCCAGGACTGGTTGCTGAAATTGTTGAGTGTTATCTCCTTGATTCAGATAGATACTAAATCCATTTGATGTCTCATTTGGTAGAATGCATACAGCTAGATCAGAAAATCCGTCGTTATTCAAGTCACCAGCTTGAATTTCACCTGGTACAGATTCTTTATTATAGAAGGCATATATGTTTGCTGGTGCAACGAATGGAAAATTCTCTGCAATACCAAAAATGATCGCGACTTCTCTACTTCCAGATAATGTGACAGCTAGAAAATACGAACTTGGTATTATCAATAATGATTAACTAAAAACTGTTGAATATCCCTCGTTACAATAACCGTGAGAATACTAGCTATAATATTTTCCAAAAAAGTGTGTGACATGAAAAAATCTTCTGGAAGCATAAATTCTCTGTTTCAATCTAGTTTCTGAAGATATCTTATTCGAATTCAGAACTTAAAATTGAAGATACGAATGACGTGTATGTTTGTAAACAATTTACATAGCTAGTCCAAACATATCTATCTTAACCTGAGCCTTCTAATCGAAGCTGCACGGCTATGAAAAGTCTCAAATTCTTTGATATTTACCTAGATCTAATACAGTATCATTGTTGAAATCAGCAGTTGTTATTCCCCAAGGGCGAGATCCTCTCTCGAATACATATATTTGTTGTGTCTGGAATGTTCCATCCCCATTTCCTAACAGGATACTTAGTGTATCATCAATATAATTCGTAATAGCTAAATCTATATACGAATCGCTATTGAAATCACCAGTGACGAGCGTTTTGGGCCCGGAACTCGTACGATATGTATGAGGTTGATACTGTAATACCATATAACAAGGCCCTAAAACTCAGAAAGAATTCAATTCGTCTAACTTCATGCATTAGGCATACTCATCGACCATGTGCTTGTTTCAGCTGATGTGTGACTGCTCGTAACAGTCACACATGTCGAACTGGAGATGGATTTCGGTTCTGTTTTCCCCCTGATAAACCATATGAATGAACCGATCAATATTATTATTACAACCAAAACACTTAGAAAGCATGGAAATAAGAGTTCGGTTCGTCGTATACTCCTAAAAAGATACAGACAGAGCGAAAAAGCAATCGGATTGAATTTATTACGTACGGACCAGTCTTTTCTTTGATTGAATGCATTTGTGTCTACATGATGAATGAATTTTATATTATTTAGAAAGAATCAACAAGCTTACCTGGACGGCTGTTGAAATTGTGGTCACTGCAACAGCATTGTTATCTTGACCTATGATTGCTATCGTCAATGTTTGCGTGTCTGACAATATTGTATTCTGTTTTTTTCGAAAATCATATATTTTATAAGCTATCGTTGCGCACAACAATACAACAAATCGTAGCCCTTTTGTTAAACCACCAAACAGAGCAACCATTGTCGCCAGAATATAGGCTCGATTATACTGCACCGTATAGGAATAGCGACATAATTTCGGAGCACATTCATCGTAATATCGATCGAAGAATACTTGTTGATCCCAATTGTATACGAACAACTGATTTAGAATCGTTTCAATGGTTGTGTTGGGGGTCCAATATGAGGAAGCAGAATAAGTAAGGATTTCATAGTGAACAGGTTTATTATAGTAAATAGCTGCCCGCATCAAATCCAAACAGGTTTGGTTATACAAACAAGTAAAACTTGACTGAAGAAAAGCATCAAGAAGTAGACAACCAGACCGAAATCCAGGAAGCGTTTCTATTAGAGATTGATTAGATATTCGATAGGGAAACTCGGAAAGTCTTGAGCAATCTGCTCTTATTCCACAGGAACAATCATCTTCTCCATACGTTTGGGACCGAGTACGGACAGGTAATAGACGACTAGTTGTCCGCTCTTGTTCAGTAGTTCGACTCTTGTAAAAAAATTTCCAATTAGTCGAAAACATAGTAGCCAATTGGTTTCCATGGTTTACAACTTGAATCAATTTTAGTGTTTGTAACAAGTAATTGGCTGTAGTTCTCTTGAACTGTTCAATTACTGAGTTTGTTTGAAGTGCAAACTCATTTCTAGATAGTATACCAAACGTGATGAAATCGGTCTTTAAGAACGTTGCTAATGAGGAATCGATAGTACTGCGAGATAATGCACAAAGTTTTGAAAGAATCTGGAATTGTATATGAATTATAGTACGAAAGTCTTTGTCAGAAGATACCAACAAGTCAAGATTTGGATTGTGGAGGCTTTCAATCCAATCAGATGAAACAAAAATACTCTTGCATACTTCATGATAATATGGTTCTTTTAGAGAGATGAATTTTACATATTTGATAACAGTACGATTGCATGGACAACGCAGTGTTGACGAATATTTTTCGTACAGATTGTTGTAGTTTGTTACAGAAGGAGACATGATAATTTCTATGATTGTCTCTTGTCTGAAAGACGCATAAAGAAAAGTAATAAATAAGGCACTGACTAACAGAAATAAATAGGCACGAGTTGCCCAGCAACCTCTGTATATATGCTTTTGGTCGTGTGTGGGTGTAGTAGGAAAGAGATTCAGTTCGTTCATAGTTCGTGTAACATATGCAAACAATGCATGTAAACGATTGTGGAATGCTAAAGAATGCAAATGAATTAATTGCTAGAAAGGTTTATGATCGATTTACTTACTGATTCTGATAGAAACCACTTCCGATACCATCACTGTATCATTTTGTTGTCGACGTATACGCCAACTCCGTATTTTGGTTATTCCTTTGATAATGAATGGAGTCAGCAAGCGTAGAGTAGCATTGATGCCGCCAATTAGTCCAGTTAAGGTAATGACAACGTAGATCCAATTTGAACGGCTCTCGTATGTATATTGACAAGTCGAAGGATGGCACTGATCAAAATAGGACTCGAATGAAGTCTCATTCATCCATGATTCAACGAAAAGACGATCAGCCAACGTCTGAATTCGTTCATACTGCTTACTGGCAAGTGATGTTGATGAAGATTTGAGTATAGTAAAGTTGGTTGCTGATACAGATGAGTCAATATGGTCTGTAATTTGAGAGAAGCATGTTTCGTTATAAAAGCATTCCAATGTTGAAGCTAGAAGTGCTTGTAAAGGAAACCATGTTTGGAACATTCCAGAAATGGCTATTTTCGATTGATTTTTCTGGACAATGGTTGGAAAATAACAGGTGTGAAAGGATAATGGAAAGCAATAGCACGGACTCAGATCAGACTCTTGTCGTCGGCATTCTGGGTTCGTGAATGAGTCTAGGTAAGAATAAGTCAATGGAACACTACCAGCCCCTAAAGCTCTTTGGATGCCACGAAATTCAGAATTCACAGATGTAATAAACTGATTGGTTTCCATGTTGGTTTTTATTACTTCTAATGTACGTTGGAATGATTGTGGCACTGTTCGTTTGAATTCATCCAGTATCACATCAACCTGAATTCGAAATGCTTGTGGATTGAGTGTTTGAGTAGTAACTAGTTCCGTTTGATAAAATGACTCCAGTAATTCGTCGATTGTCTGGTTAGCTATGTGACACAACGTAGAGAGCAGTTGAAAATGAAGCTGAAACTGATAGCGAATATCATAGGTAACCAATATTTCCTGAGGATTCACGATGAATTTAACATTAATCCACTTTGAGGATATCAAATTGCTCAAACAAACTTCATGATAGATAGGTTTGATAAATGAAGCAAATCGATTGTATTTGATTGCAACTTGTCTGCAAGGACAGTCAAGTGTTAATGGATGCCGATCATACAACTGAATGAAAGTTTCTACAGTTGGTGAAGAGATACTAATATTGATTGTCTGAGGCCGAAATGATGTGAAGATAATAAGAATCAGCATAACGATGAAGGATAGAGCCAAATAAAGTCGAGTAACAGCACGTTGTGTTTGAATATTATTTACATCGTCTGGCGAAGAGATATGTTCAAATAAATTCAATTCGATAATTTTGCGTCTCAAGAGGTACAGTAAGTTTTTCACACGATCTCTGCAAGAAAGTTCTGAAATAAAAAAGTGAAAGCATAGATTACGGTTGTACATGTTAGTAGAACTGTAATTACGTGTGCTACTTTCACTCCGAATGAATTCTAGTCCATGTATTTGTCGCCGTCGTGAAATAAAAATCCAAATAGCTGGCCATATCGTTGTAACCAACAAAGGTACGGTGATTGTCAGTACCGAGGACAATCCACCGAAGAGACTAATCAATAATGTCACAATATCGAAGGAATCATGATGTTTCTTCACTGTATATTGACATGATTCTGGAGCACAACGATTGAAATATTGTGGGAAAGATACGTTTTTTGACCAATGAATCACAAACAGTTGGCCGAGTAGAGTTTCAATTGTTTCATTAGATTTCGATGAATTCAGACTCTTGAATGTGTTTGATGAATTTGTCAGCATATTGACAAATGTTTGATTGTAGAATACTTCCAGTGTCGATTTAAGTAGTGTACTCAACATATAACAACCAGTCTGGAAATTGGATACAACTTTTCCGTTATAGGTTGCCTGACCCATGCATGTCGTAGCCGTCGAACTTGAACAGGTGCAATTAGACTCGTTGGAAAAAATGTACTGAATGCCGTAATGAGGAAGTCCAGGTTTGTTGACATTAACAATACTGCTGTATTGTGGTTGAAGACTAGTTACTGAGGCACCTGTGAACAACATAGATTGTGCTGTGATATCTTGCATGAAGCGCAGTGTTCTCAAAACACTCTTATGCAGTGATTCGATGAAAATCGTAAAAATTGAATCAATTTGAATTTGAAACAGTTCCTGTGAAACTAACAGTGACTGAATAAATTTAGTCCTTTGAAATAGTTGTATATCTTGTGTAATAGTTTCTCGAGCCATTTGACATATTGATCGAACTGTTACAAACTGAAATACGGCAATTCGAAAGAAATCCGACAGATTTGAATCACTCCAGTATTCTTGGTAGAGAATGAATAGATGATTGATCCATTCATCAGAAACAAAATCACTTTGACAGACTTCATGGTAAATAGGTTCAATTTGTACGAATTGCTCATACCTGACTGCCAGCGTTGAACAAGGACACTGTAAAGATGAGTGTCGCAACAGAGTCAGATACTTGTCGAATGATGGAGATTCGATTACGATTACTACTGTTGTGGAAGTGAGAGAATAATAAAAGGTGAGAAGAGTTATGGATGCAATGAGAAGGACAAGATACAATCGAGTTGATCGACGTTCATTCGCGAGAATATGCTCATCTTGAGAGCCACTGTTGAATAGATTTAATTGTCGTAGGGAGGTTTTAAAAAAACGAAGAAGCGAGTAGAAATCGACGTAAATGGACATGGTTTGTATTTGTCCAAATATATCTATTCATATATAAAATGCGTCAATCGTTTATCGTCAGTTCTTTGAACAAAGATTTCAAATTTCTTTTTAAAGTATTTCTTTAGAGATTTGATCAGTAGCAGCCATGAAGATATTTGTCCGATAATATCGATTATCAGAACGACTTTTTAAAATATTTTTCATGAAGTGGTAAATAATGTATCATAGTGGATTCACTATCTCACAGAACTGATTATTTTGTTTTCAAACCGGAAAAGTCATCCGAACTTCTGAATGGTTTTCTACTGTACAAACTCAAGTCGAAAAGTACGGGTAGGTTCCGGCAGAAAAACATCGGAAGTCGCCGAAGCAGGGTAGCAGTATCCCACTCGAAAAATTTTTCAATTTTTTCCCGTGACTTCCGGTCAACTTCCTCTCATTTTCTGCAGGAATCTGTTCGGAAGCCACTGGAACAAATCCGAAAAATTTCCGACAGGAATTCTGCCACC